GGAAAGAGACTGAGAGGCTGCAGATGAGGCAGGGCTGGACAAACAAGGTCTGAGGGAGAAGCGCAGCAAGATGACTGTGCCACAGGCTCAGGTAACTGATTTGTTGCAGCAAGCCCACGGAGCTCTGCAAATGGTGGGGAATTAGACACTTTTGCTCTCTCCCTTGTCCAGCCGCACCACTGTCATCCAATTCTTCATCTCTATCAGATTTTGTTTTCCTGTCTTGAAACTGCTTTTCCTTTAGCATGCCCAGGCTGGGCAGCTTTATTACCTTTGCCTTTTTCCTTTAAATCTGCTACCTTTTGATTTCCATTTGTTTAGGGATTCTTGTTGACCCTCTGTGATTTTTTTTCAGAGCTTCTTTTTGCATTTCTCCCAGTACTTCCCATGTCACTCATTTTCCTTAATTGTAGTCTGTCGTTACTTGCAGCTTTGGCTCTATCCAAGGCTCCCTTGGCTTTTTATTTAAATAGAATTATTCTCTCTTTTGCTCTGCTGACAAAGCCTATTTTATTTCTCCATGATTTGAGAAAATAATGTGCAAATCTCCACAGGTATGATCATTTAAGTCACCTGAAAACTTCAGCAAGCATCTAATCTTCTAAATATTTCATTTCAGCATCTTCTGCTAACTTCTGCTTTTCTCCTTGCTTTTGTTTAGTTTACACTTTACTTTGCCTTCTTCATTTTTCTTCACAAAATAATCTCCTTTAAAAAAGTATTACCAAGTCTGTTTTTATACTCCTGGCCTAGAGTTCCTACAAATTTCTTACCAGATTCAGGGCTATCAAACACAGCAAATGTCAGTCCTTTAAATTCTTTGTGCAAGTTCTTCTCATCTGAACATTTAGTGCTGGACCTTTGTCTTCTAGCCACTCTTGCTGTTGTCCAGGGTTGCCTCGTTGGGAAGCCTTCAATAGAAACAGGCCTGTTTTTTTTTTTTACATCACTTTGTGCTCACCAGTCTCGCAGGGAAGGGTTTGTTTGCAGGTCTGCCGATTTTAGTTCCACTGGTTTCCGCGAGTTCTGCCTCAGCCTTGCTGCGCCTCCATTGTCACCCTGAAGTGTGAGGTCCCGCGGCTGAGCTGCTGGCATTTCCTCATTATTTCCAAGGGTACTGAGCTGAGCCTTCATCCAGTGTGATCTGTTCCTTTAAAGATGTGTCCCTGACAAACTGAAGTCTCCAAAATACTCAGCTTGATGAGGCCGGGCAGCCGCACGCCGGCAGCAGCGCAGCTCTCACCCTGCGAAGGAAACCGCGCCGCTTCCGCCCTGAAAAGCGAACGAGCTGAATACGGGCAACGCTTTTGAGAATACACCGCTTCCTTTTCCTCCTATTGTTTTCAATTCTTGCCCGCTGCCTTCTAAAAATTTGGCAGGACTGGAGACTTATTTATTTATTTACTTACTTATTTCGGGGACTTATTATTATTATTATTATTATTATTTTTTTTTTTTTTGAAGAGCCAGCATACTCTTTCCCCAGCTTCTTGGCAGGCCTTCCTGGGAGGGAACCTGCTGGATTAGAACTGATGGGGTGGGGGGAGGCCTCAGCCTCAGCGCCGATGTAGGGCAGCCTGATGGCGATTGACTGCGCTGTGAAGGCGGAAGCGTAGCCGGGTTCCAGGGGCGCCCCGCGGCCCGGAGCAACAGGGCCCTGCTTTGGCCGCTCCCGTGTGCAGTTGCCCGGTGCCTCAGGCTAAACTGAGCTGCTCACATGCAACTGTTAGGCCATCTGCTCAATCCAGGAATTACTCTGGAAAAAAATTGTTTTAGGATAACATTTGTAGGTACCAGGAGATGCTGAAGTCTCAGCCCAGTCCCTCTTATGAGAGGCGTCTCCTGCAAGACCCAGCGGGCACATTGTGCGGCTCTGAGTGAAGCTTTGCAAGGCCGACCGGTGCAAAGCTTGCGTTAAGCACGTGTAGCCCTGTGGGCCGCTCTGCCCATCCTGCAGTTCCGGGTCTCAGCATCGCTGCGACGACCGGAGGCGCTTATGGCTTCAGGGTCCTTTCAAGTGCTCTTCTTACACTGAACACAAGCAGACGTGGATACTTGTCTCATACCCACAGGTGAGAAGGAGGGAGCCCAGGTTTATATTATTGTCCTAAGTACAGAGTCTGAGTAATGGCAACAGCTGTACTCCAACTTCTACTTACTGATAGCCGGATGGAGTACAAGGTTCCTTGTCTGTGGTTTTGCCTTCTGTGATTTCAGACCCCTGAGGTCAACTGGGTCTAGCAACATTAAATCCATAAGTGAGCAATTCATAAGTTGTAACTTGTGTGCTCTTCTGAGAAGTGTGATGAAATCTTGAACCATCTAGCTCAGTCCTGTGGAGATGTGAGTCACCCTTTGTCCTTTGTATCCAAGCAGCACAGGCATTCTGCCCACCAGTTACTTAGTACCCATCTCGGCCACCAGCTCCACTGGCCTGAAGTCCAGGGCTTGGGTTTAAATGAACCTGTAATTGCCTTTACAGTGTAAGAGTAGGGATGCAGGTTTATGTAATTAAGAAGAAGAGAGAGAACAAATTTGCATAGCTTTATTACAGTCTATTGTTATAATTGCTTTTTATTATTTTTTTGCTGCTTATCTTTTATTGTGATTGATTTAAAATTAGACTTTATCATAGCTATGTGTAGAAAACAAGCATAGTATCTATAGGTTTAGGTGCTGTCAGCAGTTCCATGTGTCCAGTGGGGGTGCTGGATCTTATCCTCCCTAAAGTAAAGGGTTGGCTGCACTGAGACTGCAAGTGAGCCTGGGCGTGGTTGCGCATCTCTGTAATCCAGCGTTTGGGAGGCTGAAAGCAGGAGGATCACTATGAGTCTGATCTGTGTAGTGAGACCTTGTAGACCTTTTTATGTACTACTAAATACATAAACTCCCCCACAAAATAAAGGGTCTACATTAATTTTGCCAGCAATGTGAGGTCCTCACATAGTCCATTTTTCAAGCAGCTTGTTGTACAATATTCTCATGCCCTGGCTTCTTGTCATCACTCACAGGTTCAGGAGACTTGAGGCAGCTCTGTTTCCCCACCCCTTCTCCCTGGGTTCAGGCCTCCTATGTGGATGTCTTATTCCCCTCCCCACCTCAAGGCCCTTCTCAATTAGGAAGCTTTCCCTGCATTTCTGGTTTATCCTGATCTCATCTTTCAGGGCCTGGGGATGTAACGCAGTGGCACAGTGCCCACTTCACAAGCTCAAGGTCCTGAGTTTGGTCCCTGATACAAAAAAAAAAGTCATCTCTCCTTTCTGAACCCTCTTTCTGCTTGTGCTGCCTCAGCCAGTCTCGGAGCATCCTCCAGTAGCAATATGAATGAATGCTACACAAATCAATTATTTGGCCTATATGTTTGGCAAATGACTCTACTTGATTTTGTATTTTTTTTTGAGTTTGCTCAGAAGCTCTTGAAGGAAGGGCTCTTCTAAGTTTCCTACAGCCAGAACAATGGCTAAATTAATGTCCAATGAATATTGGAGTCACTTGAACTGTTTATTCTGGGAGCGGTTGAGGACTAAGTGTTTTATCATTTTCATTTATTTATTTTATGGTATTGGGGATTGAACTCAAGGACATTGTGCATGCTAGGCAAATGTTCTACCACTGAGCTACATGCCCAGTCCTTTTAAATTTTATTTTGAGATAAGATCTCTCCAAATTGCCCAGGCTGGCCTCAAACTTTCTATCCTCCTGCCTCAGCCTCCTGCATAGCTGGAATTATAGGCATATATCATTGCACTTACCCTAGGTATTTTATTTCATTTTTAAAAATTGCCCTAGGTATTTTAGAATATGATAAATTTCCACCAAGCTTACTCCCAAAATACAGACAGAAAGGAGGGAGGGAGAGAGAGCGAGAGCGAGAGCAAGAGAGAGAGAGAGAGAGAGAGAGAGAGAGATTTCATTAAAATTTTTAACTGTTCTATTTTTAATATTTATTGGTTCTTAGCCTTAATATTTTCATGAAGTAAATAAAAGCTAGACTCATTCTGTTAGTGGAAAGGGGCAGGCTTGGGGCTTAGTCTTCCTGGCCAGTGCCATTCTTGGAAAATTTATCTTACATTTATCCTTTCTCATAATAAACTCAAAGCAGCAGGCCATGTTGTCACCAGCCACACGTGTACACAGGTAGATACTAACCTAACACTCCAAAGCACAGATCTCAGAAAAAGAGCATATGGTCCAGTTCAGTCTGTGGCTATATTTGTAGTTTTCTCTACAGCGATTTCAAATTGTCCTGCCTTTTTAAAAAAATTATTTTAAAGAGAAAAAAGATAAAATAGCAATGAGACAGTTTTAAAACAGGTTAGTAGGATGGTTACAATAATTAATGCATTGAATATTGTTGTCTTCATAGTAGTTATTCAGAGGACAAGATACAGACATGATATCTTATCTGAACAATATTAGTACAACCTTTCTTCTCATTGAACTAAGAGAAAGGAGCTTTATATCTATCCTAACTATCTTCTATCTTGTGTATACATACATACATACATACATACATACATATATATATTTTTTTTCACAACAAAATAGTCCTTTACTTATATCCTCCTTTTTTATTCTGTTTTGTTTTGTCAGAGATGGGTATTCCATTGCAGTTAGAGAAGCTGTATTTGGAGAAGTATTTAAAGGACCTTTTCATACTTGAAGCCAGACCAAAAATAGGTACTTGAATTTAGCAAAGTAACCCAATATAGACCAATAGTCCATAATTGTAGTGTTATCAGCAAAGCTGGCAATTGTCCGAAGTTGTTGACTTGAGCCTTTTACAGCTCAGCATATTCATATAGCTTTACTTTTTATTCCTCGTGGTTACACTTTTCTGCTGGATGGTGAAGACTAACTCTATATGCTGATATCTGTGAACTAAGCAACTACATAGTGATGTATAATACTAAAACCATGCTTGAAATACCTGTCATTTTGGTATTCTCAATGCATACTGCTCCTAATTCATATCAATTGTTGCTATACTCTGTTTAAAGTAAACGTTTGAGGCCTGTCTGTCCGACCTTCGGCAAAGACCATGGTCTCTTGGGCCAACGTCGCTGGGCTGTCAGCCTGGGCCTTGCAGCCACACTGGATGCAAGTCCAAAATACAGCAACTTTGAAAGACATTACCAGGCGACTAAAGTCAATTAAAAACATCCAGAAAATTACCCAGTCTATGAAAGTGGTAGCAGCAGCAAAATATGCCCAAGCCGAGAGGGAGCTGAATGCGGCTCACATTCATGGAAGAGGATCTTTTGTGCTGTGTGAAAAAGCTGGTATTAAGGTCCCTGAGGACAAAAAGAAGCGCCTTCTCATCGGTGTGTCCTCGGAGCGAGGGCTTTACAGTGCTGTTCATTCCTCAGTCGCTAACCAGATAAAGAATGAGGTGGCCACACTAGCGGCAGCTGGAGAAGAGGTTATGCTAGCTGGAATTAGGGATGAAATTAAGGGCATACTTTCCAGGACGCATTCTGACCAGTTTTTGGTGACCTTCAAGGATGTGGGAAGAAAGCCCACTACTTTTGGAGATGCATCCATCATTGCTCTAGAATTATTCAGTTTTGGATATGAGTTTGATGAGGGCTCTGCCATCTTTCATCAATTCAGGTCTGTTATCTGCTATAAAAGAGAAGGAAAACCCATCTTTTCTCTTCATACCATTGCAAACACTGAGAGCATAAGCATCTGTGATGACATTGGTGCTGATGTGCTGCAGAATGACCCAGAGTACAGTCCGGCCAATATCCTCTGCTACCCCCTGAAGGAATCCACCACCAGCAGCGAGCAAAGCGCCAGGACGATGGCGATGGACAACGCCAGCAGGAACGCTTCCGAGATGATTGATAATCGACTCCGACATTCAATCGCACGCGCCAAGCCGTCATTACCAAAGAGTTGACTGAAATCATCTCTGGTGCAGCAGCTCTGGATTAATGAAAACCGAGTTCCACCCTCAGACAAGAGGTCTGAGGAAAATTCAGCAAGCTGATTTTGGTCAGAGCTTACTACTGTCTTTGTCAGAAGAAATGTGATCCATTGTTTGAGTGACTAAAGACAGAAAGATGTTTATAAATTACCTTACAATAAAAAATTTACAATAAAAAATAAAGTAAATGTTTGTAGAAAAAAAAAAGGTAATAAAAGTAAATGAGAGACAAGAAAAACAAAATGTCATAGGATTGTCCTGCCCTCCCATTCTTAAGTGATTGCTCCCACAGGCACAAGGATGCAAATACCGTGCTGGTGCTTGCAGGGGTCTTCAGGGGCACAGAGGAGCTCTGTGGCTCTAGGCAGGAGGCCATCAGAGTGGCCCAGACCTGGGAGGTTTTCCAGGGCCTTCTCTGCACTGGTCTCCAGGCCCTTCAGCCCCTGATTCCTACACAGCAGGAGCTACAGGAGTGTGGCACTTAGCTTGAACTTGATGAAGTCTCCTGGTCACCAGCACCTTCACACTTGGAATAAGGAATATTTTTTTTCCTCTGGAAAATTCACAGTAAGGAGGGAAGCACCTGCCTGCGTGACTTTTCCATCATTTTTCTTTGAATGTGTTGTGAACTTAGTGCTGCCATTGTAATTAAGAACTTTTTTATTACTTTAATTAAGGTCTTTTTATTAATTTTAATGAGAAAGAAATAGCAATGAGACAGTTTCAAAACAGGTTGGTAGGACAGTTACAATCATTAACACATCACCTATTGTGGTCTCCATAGCAGCTATTCAGAGGACAAGATGCAGACGTGATACTGTGTCTGAACACCATTAGTACAAATCTTCTCATTGATACTTTTCCATTACTAATGAAGTTTTCCATTTAAAAACTTGTTGAATATTTAGTAAATTTTCATGTGTATTTGGCTTTTATTATTCATTTATTTGACACACTTTTAAAGACCTACAATGCTATTGTCTCATAAGTAGGCACTTTGGGGTAATCAGAGCAGAAAATTTCTCCTCAGAGATTATTCATAAAGAGCGTCCCCCCCTGAAAATCCCAAAGCATGATCTCCTCAAATTTAGCTAGTGTGGGAGAAGCCAGAGCTGAGATTCCTTTCCAGAGCTCACCGCCCTCCCAAGCTCACACAATCTTCCCACCAGAGTATGGACCTTAATTAGAAAAGTAGGAAAATATTGAAATAGGCAGTGAGAAAAGAAAAAAGTATTGCTAAGAAGCTTTGAGATTTGGAAAGATTGAAAGATTTTCTTTCAGTCTTTATGGGGCATAAGATGGGCTTTTAGAAGTAAGATTTATGGCATACTGTACATTATGTCTCTGTGGCCAATATATGTGTTATGGAGATAATTTGATACTTTTAGTTCTTTAAATATTTCTTCTTAAATAAATCCATTCAGCCTATTAACCATAGTTAATGTTTTTCCACTGGTCTGTGCATGTCATAGCAAAAGACCAATGTAGATTAATGGGGAAGGAAGAAAAATGAATGCCTTCATGAATTAATCTCTGTTCTTACTTTAGACAAGTTAATTTTTCTTAAATTATCAGGTTCCGTCTTAATCATAGGCCATTTGTGGTTATCAAGACATACATGTTGGTGTGTTTGGCCATCATAGTCTTACATTTCATACCAAAACTCAAGTTCAAATAGTCTTATTATATCCTATCACAAAATGTTCAACATGGAAATCAAAAATTTAAAAAATGAGTAATTCTGAGATTATAAAAGAGTTCTTTTAATTCATATTGAAGTAAGACTTGAGAAGGACAATTCTATTAAAACACATTTTAAAATTTAAATATAAATAAAATTTAAAATATAAATTTTAAAATATATTTTAAATTAAAAAATATTTTTATTAAGAGAATGATTCATTTCCAGGGAAATAACAGAAATTAGGGCAATTTAGTTTGGTTTAGCAATTCAAATTTCACTCTTAAAACAGTCACAAAAAATAAAACTCCACCCAAGATTACCTTTTATCTTATAAACCCAGAGGGTGAAGGGATTATTCTACAGCCTCTCTAGATTCTCTAATACTATGACTAGTACTGTGAAGATAGTTTAGATTTTATAAACTTTTTTCACTGTAACAGTTTAAAGCAACTTTGTGTTCAGTATTGCTTTACCACTTCATTTTTTCTCTTCCACATTGATGACATATAAAAATAATTTGTACATTAAAATGATTTTAAATTACCTTAATAAATTCTCCTTATGAAACATTATAACTTTACAGAGTCTACTGAAGCGAGTACCTGTTGCTTATGGCCCTCTCCCATTCCTCTCGTGGTGCTCTCTGTAGAAGCTGTCACCCCTAATCACGCAGTGTGCATGCTTGAGACTCTTCTGTAGTATGGCCTCCAGAAAGGCTAGATGTGTGTATGTGCTGTAAAGTAAGTAAAAATTATATTATTTCACTTAACAATACGGCTTAGACAATTTTTCATCTCATTACAAATATGTTCACTTTTTTTTTTAAAGGAAATTGCAGCATAACAGGTTCATTCCCAAGGGCAGCAGCAGGAAGAGCTGAGCACAGCAGCCAGACCCAAGCCAGGCACAGCTGGATAAATCCAAACTTTGTCGATCTGCACCTGAACTTCAGTACATGCTAAGGTTATAACTACAACGAAGATCTACAACAAAGTTCAGAAGACAGTGCTACACAAAATGATGAGAAGGAACAAAATGCAACCTCAGAACCCAAGCCCACCCATAACAAGTGCAGAGGACACTAACACAGAACAAATTGGGAATCACACAGCTGAAAGCAATGAATCAATGGCTTCTGAAATTAAAAAAAAAAAAAGCTGCAGAAAGGTATAGAGTAACTCAGATTGGAAATAAAAAAGAAATCCCTGAATTAATAACATCTGCAGTAAAGTATCAAATGCAGAAACATATGGAGGAAACTCAATGCCCATCCAGAACAAGTGCAGAGGACACTAGCTCGGGTCAAATGCATGAATTAATAGCATCGATAGTAAATAAGCAACAGCAGAAAGTTATAGAGGAACTCAGAGCGCAATTCTTTTCTGAAATAAAAAAAGAATTCTCAGAATTCATAGCATCTGAAGTAAAGAAACAACTACAGAAACATAGGGAGGAAACCCTATCTGAAAAAAACACTGCAGTAAAAGAGTTTATAACTGCTTCTAAAGAAGACATTGATAAAAAAGGTAGAGGAGATTAGAAAAATTTAAGTCTCTACAGAATATGGAGAAAAAAATTAAGAAAATAAAATATATTTTAAAAATATGGGTAAACAATTACATATTTTTACCAAATTTAGAAATCTAACCATATACAGCTTTATAGAAGGACAGTCCTGTGACATTTTTTGTTCTTGTCTCATTTTTTTCATTTATTACCCTTTTTCAAAAAACATTTACTTGAGAGACAGTATGGTAATAATTGGTATGTCATGACAAGTAGTATATATTTAGAAGACCAGAATGATAGGCATTCTAACTATGACCCTTCTATTACACATTGCTATCTTCAGTGCAGTTGCTTATTTCACAGGTATCAGCATGTATAGTTAGTCAGGGTGAGAATTCTACCAATTAACTGCTAGTTTTGAAAACCTGCTGATGTTTCTCAGGATCATTGCCTTACCCATCTTGTGCGTATAAATGTATGGCATTGCCTCTGTCATTTCTCCCAGCTTTTCTCCTTGCCCTCTCCTCATCCAATCCTCAAGTTCTCACTTTCCTTTCAATTGTGTTATACCTTTCTATTTGTATTTCTTCTTTTGAGTTCTTATACTAGGGAGACTATACAATATTTACAGATGTGGGTCAGGTTTATTTCACTTATGAGTATATCTTCAAGTGGCATCCACGTAAATATAAATGCTTCAAGTTTATCTTCTATATGGCTGAGTAATAATACTCCATTGTATAAAAATATGACATCTTTTTCATCCATTCTTCAGGTGATAGGCATCTTGATTGTTTCCAAGATTTGGCTATCACAAATTATGCTGCTATAAACATACATACATATATATCACAATGATATGATGTTTTCAGCTCCTCCAGGAAAATTCCCAGTAGGGGGATAGCTGGCTTGAATAGGATTTCCAGTCCTAGGTTTTTAAAGAGTCTCCACACTGATTTCCATAATGGTTGCATTAGTCTACATTCCTACCAGCAGTGGAGAAGGGTTCCTTTTTCCCCACAGCCTCTCCAATGTTTGATGATAGTTGATTTCTTTATGATAGCCATTCTTTCTGGGGTGAGATGATATCTCAGTGTTGTTTTAATTTGCATTTCATTGATGGCTAGTGATGTGGAACATTTTTTTCATATATTTATTCTCTTCTTTAATTTCGTCCTTTGAGAAGTGTATGTTCATCTCAGATGCCCATTTTTGGATTGGGTCTTTAAATTTTGGGGCCCTAATGTTTTTTAGTTCTTTATAAATTCTAGAGAGCAGACCTTTGTCTGCTGTTTGTCAGTCAAGATTTTTTGGAAATTTGTGGGTTGTCTTTTCACTTGTTGGTAATTTCTTTTGATGTGCAAAAACTTCCTAATAAGAGGAGGTCCCAGTTGTTAATTCTTTCAAGAATTACCCATGCAATTTGATTTTTGTTCATGAACTCTTTGCCTACCCCTATGTCTTCAAGAGTTTCTCCTCCAGGAGTTTACTGTTTCTGTTTTAATGTTTAGATCTTTAAGCCATTTTGATATTAGCTTAGTGTATGCCTATCACCTGATAGACCTGGGTCAAGTTTTAGTTTTTGGCATGTAGAGAGCCAAATTTTCTAGCACCATTTGTTAAAGAAGCTATCTTTCTTCCAGTAAGCATGTTTGGCCCCTTTGTCGAAGATCAGGTGACTGAATATGTTCGTAGAGGCCTCTGCATCTTCTAATCTATTCCACTGATCCTCAGGTCGATTTTGTTGCCAGTACCATGCTGATTTTATCACAGTAGACTTGTAGTATAATTTCAAGTCAGGAATTGTAATGCCTCCTACTTTGTCTTTGTTGCCCAAGATTGCCTTTGCTATTCTAGATCTTTTCTGGTTCCAAATAAATTTTAGGAATGATTTCTCTAGGTCTGTAAGGTATGTTAGTGGTAGTTTGA